AAGTACTGTGAAGGTCATTTCTGGATACTAGCATTAATTGATTCCAAAGCAAGAACTATGCTAAAAAAAAAATCACAGACCAATTTCATTAATGAACATAGAGGCAAATATCCTCAACAAGATAATGGAATGCAACAAATCATTTCAGTGTTTACATGTCATGACCAAGTAGCATTCAACCTGCGGAGGGAAGAAGAGTGGTTCAATATATGCAAATCAACCAGTGTAATACATCATAACATAACCAAGGATCAAAGTCACAAGATATTTGTTGTAGTTAGGGTTTGCAAGGGAATCAATTTAATATGGGACGCATAATTTATAGGATTGTTTCATAATGTTCCAAAGAGTCAAATACAGAAGAATGCAGATCTGTCCATGCACTAGAGACCCAAAGAATCCAGCTAAGATTTTGATTCTCATGGAAATATCTTGTATGAGTCCAGCTGAAGACCTAAAGCCCATGGCAATGTCCTCCACAAATCCAACTGGTGGCCTAGTTCCTGGAAAAATGTCTCATGATAGTTTGTACCATCTGAACTGGGAAGGCCCAAATGTCAGTGGTGGAAGTTAGAATGTCTGTGCCAGTGTGGTGAAGAATATGTGTCAAGAGGCTGAAAGATCTGCACTGGAGTTAGGAAGTGATGCTGAAGGTAAGGACCACAGCTCGCTCAAAGAGTCATCCTCAGTGACAGCAAGGACTCAAGCTCCTCCAGTGATGAGAACAGCTGAGCTCATTTCAGAAAAACAGCATGACAAGCTTCTGGAGAATCAACAGCACACCACCTTTCCCTCCAGTACTCCTTGTATGCTTTTGGCAATAATCTTCAGGTGGGCATTCCACACCCAGAATCACGCTGATTCAGTCCAGTGGGGTGTTATATGTTGATAATTCGTTAAATCAGCATAAGATTCTTAATATAGGCATAAAAGTCCTTTGATAAAAGCTAACATCCATTTATGATTAGAAAAGAACCTGAAGAAAATAGGACTTTATCTCAATCTGAGAAAAGCTATTTATGACAAACTCACAGATAAGACCATATTCAATGGGAATAAACTGAAAACTTTCCACCTAAAATCTGAAACAAGACACAGATGTCCACTATCACTAGTGCTGTCCAATTTGCCCTTGATACATTAGCAAAGAAATGAAGTAAGAGAAAGAAATATAAGGAATACACATAGGGTAGAAAGAAGTCAAATTGTCCTCAACTTATGACATGATTTTTTACATAGAAAACCTAGAAGATGCCACCAAGATATGCCTAAAACTGATAAGCTCAGCAAGGTAGAAGAATACAAAATCAACATGCCAAAATAAATAGTGAGCTCAAGGCCAGCCTGGCCTACATAGCAAGACTCTATCTCAAAACAAAACAAAACAAAACAAAAAAAACACACACAAAAAAAACCCAAAATAAAACAAAACAAAAACAAAAGCAATAGCAATAAAAAAGATAATAATGAATAGCATTCCTGTAAACCAAAATGAACCTACTAGGAAAGAAGTTAGGAAGACAATACTATTCACAATAGCTACAAAAAAATTAAATTCATAGAAATTAACCTGAAAAAGAAATTGAAAGACTTCTACAACTGTTACTAAATACATTGAAAGAGGAGGTGAGAGCCCGACATTCCTCTTGGGTAGAGAGAATCAATACCGTGAAAAAGGCCATATTACCAAAATGAATAGATTGGTTAAATGCAATCCAAGTCAAAACATGAACATTCCTCACAGAATTAGAAAAAATAATCCTAAAATTTATTATGAAATCAGAAGAGAACCAAAAAAGCAAAAGCAATCCAAGGCAACCAAAGCAAAGCAAGAGGCATCATAATCCCTGTTTCGAGTTATGTTACAAAGCTATGGCGACAAAAACAACATGGTAGTGATGCAAAATAGTCACAGTAGAACAGAATAGAGGGGGTAGAAATAACCTGAGACCCATTCATCTATGTGTTCTTTGGCAAAAGGGTTATAAACATGCTGGAGGAAAGATAGCCTCCAGAATAAATGGTGCTGGGAAAACTGGTTATGCACAAGCAAAAGAATACATCTAGACCCATATCTCTCACCATGTACAAAAATAACATAAAATGTATCAGAATATAAATGTTTTGTTAAAACAAAAACACTTAATCTGCTAGAAGGTCAAATATGAAACTCTTCAAGACAGATGCACATGCAAAGACTTTTCTGGACAAAACCCCATTTGCATAAGTTACTTCTTATGTTTTCTACTGCATAAAAAAGAACATCCTATTTCTTATGCCTTCTATTGCATAACAAAAAAGCCAAGAATCAACAAATGAAAGTATCATACTGAAAAATTTCTGCACAGCAAAGGAAACAGGCAATAGGGTGAAGAGATAGCCTACAAAGTGGGGGATAAATTTTGCCAGCTCTTCAGTAAGCGGAGGATTCATATCTGGAATATGTAAAATACTCAAAAACTAGATCCCTTCGATAAAAAACCAATGAAAAACCTGGGCAACTGAAATGAATGGACACTTCTCAGAAGATGTACAAATGGCCAACGAAGATATGGAAATAATATTTAGTGTCTATGGGCCTTAGAGAAATGTACAGTAGAACAACACTGAGATTCCATTTACTCCAAAACAAGTGGATATCAAGAAATAAGTAATAACAAATGCTGGTCATGGTGGGAGGATAAAGAAATATTTCCACATTGTTGGTGGGAATGTAAACTAGTATAATCACTATGAAAAATCAGTATGGAAAGTCTCCAAAAAGCTAAAAATAGAAATTCCATTCAATGCAGCAATTCCTCTTCTAGGTATCTTACAAAAGATGAAAGATATCAAATTACAGTGATATGGGTGTACTCATGTTTAGAGCAGCACAACCATAGCAGCTAAATCTTTGAACTGGTTTGTATGTCTATAGACAGATGGCTCAAGAAAGCATGGTATTTGTACACAGTGGAATACTATTCTGCCAAAAAGTAGGATCAATTTGAGTCATTTTTAGAAAAATGGATGCACATGATACTGTAATGCTATGTGAACTAAATCAGACACACAAGCTTAAATTGTTGCATGGTTTCTCCCACACAAGAAACTAAAAACATAAGTAATTTTAAAAGCAAAATAAAGATATATAGTAGTACACAAGGAGTTGGTTCTTTTGAAAATGGAAGTGGACCTAGAGACAAAGGGAGGGGGAAGGAGGAGAGTAGATGTAAAATGAATTAAGATTATGGACATATACTAACTCACCATGGTGAATGTAATCATTAGGTACTGCAAATGCTAGTGAAATTTTTGAAATTACCCCAATTCTGATGTACAGTCAGATACATTATCCGTTGTGCCTCTGGTAATTCTTTACTTAGACTCAGCTCTTCTCTTTTTAGGTTTTTTGTTTGTGTTTAATATATGTTCTAGTTCTCACAGTGACTGCTGGTGACAACAGAAGCCTCCATGGAGAGACGCAGCAATAGAAGGGAACCATGGACAAAAGGACTGCACTGGCTGGGGCTGTTCTTCCTGGTATTCTAAGGCTGAGATTGTCTACGGTTCCTGAATGAAAGGGTGTGACTCAGTGCAGAAGAGCGAGGCATCAGCAATGAACTTTTTAAAGGCTGTCTCCTGTTATGGTTGATCCATTGTGTCAGCCTGGGGAGTCTAGAGGTTTGGCTAAGTGACTCAGCAGTTCTACATCCTGGGGTGTAAAGGACACGCCTTTCCTGCTCTAAGATATTGTTCATTGTGTCCGTGTGAGAATTTCAGAAAGTTAACTGTGTGATTCAGCAGGGAGCCAGGGTGCTTACTTTGTACTCATCCTGAGCCTGTGCAAGAGGAGGGCATGGAAACTGTGTGAGTGCTACACGACCCCTGGCTGAGCGCGGTTTGTTTACAATATAAGGTAGGGAAAGAGGCTTGCTAGCTCTGCCATTTTGCCCGATTGTTCTTATTGCTTTCCTACTTTTCTCCACCATGGACTTTTGTCCTCCGACATGTGCCACTCTGCCTTGGAGCCAGCCAAGTATGGACTGCATCCTCCACAAACTGTGAGCTAAATGAATCTTTCCTTCTTTCATTTTGGGCATCATGTATTTTGTCTCAGTAATGAGATAAAAGTAACCAAGACATCTCCCTTTTGGTTCCACAGCTCAGAAAAGATCCTCATGGATTTCTGTGCTATTTATTTATTTTCACTGAAGCTGGCAGAGTCCCTTTAGTGAGAAAACTGTCCCACACCTTTCAGGGGCTGTGTGTTTCCATGTCGACTGGAAGAAGAACTATATGGTCAAACTATTCCACCATATAAATGGTCTAAATGTGCCTCTGTGAGGCACCCAGTTGAAAATTCTAGAAATGAGGTTCATTTGAAACTCTGCAAATCATTATACCTCAGGTCACAAACACCTCTGTTCAAAAACAAGCTGCTTTGGAAACAGAAGTGTTTAAAAAATTTTGCGTCCTTTCATGAACTCCACATCAGGTGATTAACATGACCACAGCCATCCTCCCCATGAGCACCAACACAGCCATGTTCTCCAGAATTGTGGAATGAATTACATTCATGAACCAAAGTACCACTATATTTATCTATTTATATGTTATTAGTACATGTGTGTAGTACACAATATTTACATTCCTTGTGGGAAATTGTTACATGTACATACCATATCCTGATTCCTTCTTTCATCCCGTATACCTAAGAAACTGCCTGTGAGGCTTTCATAAGCTGGGTAAAGGTCTATAGTAGATTATGTATGCTGGAAAATTTTGTTCTGTTACTGCATAGAATAACAGGCATTTTCTGCACACACGTGACATTTTAAAGTGAAAATTTGTAAACTCTCTTTGACAGCTGTATGAAAGACGTTATAACTCTTGAAAACTAAAGCAACTAATGAACTACGTTACATGTCAGAACCCAATAAAGAAACTAAGTATTAAGTCTTCTCCGAGGAATTTTGTTAACTAACAGTTAATAACTTATTAACTCACAGTTCCAGAGATCAATATTTACACAAAGAATTTTATTGCTATAAAATTTGAAAGTTTGCTATGCCTGGGGTTGGTCAACACCAAGTGTATTAGAACTTGAAAACCTTTCTTGCTTCTTCGATCATTTTCTCAGTAGTCGGAGGCTTTCTCTGGCTCCCAGGCTGCAGAAACTTCCTCACATTGGGCAGGTTACTGATTCTGGCTTTCAGGGCCTTCAATACACAAATCACAGTTTCAGTGGTGGATCTTAAAGTTCAAAGTAACTATTAAAAAAAAAACCCTGGTATACAATGGAGTACGCCTCAGCTATACACTTGAAGTTTTCATAGGTACATGGATGCAACTACCTCACTCAGAAGTGAAAAAAATCTGACTCACATGTGTAAGCATTGTATTGTCTCCCTAGTGTATGAAACTGATATAGTAAGATCCAAATGGTACAACAGATATTGTGAAAAGGAAAGAAACTGCTCAAAAGGAATTAACACCTGGGATGGAGGATAGGAGAAAGGAAGGGGAAATATATATACACACACATGATAGCTAAGATAATTGTACTACGAATTTCTATTACTTCACTGAAAGGAACAGTTAGTGTTTATGTTGTTTGATGAGTTTTGCATGCCTGCATATGTTACTGCACCTGACAATCTGAGCAACTAGTTTGAAGAAAACATGTAATATAATAACCATTGTTAATTTCCTATCATCTTGTTTTAAAAGTCTGTTAAGTTTTTATTTTTAAAAATCCTCTTTAAAATAAAGAATCCCTGGGAAACCCCATATAACCCCTGCAAAGATCCATCAGCACCATTGTAGAGATGGAAAGACACACCAGGCAAAGGAATACAGGATGTAGAAAGTATATCTCAATAGCACTTCCTTAAAAACATCCTTTAAACTTACATTTAGTCATAATATTCCCTGTGCGCTTAGACATAAATGCTTTTGCTTTTTATCCTTGCAATTCAACGGAAACAGTGTGTTTTTTAGATATACACAAAGAAACGTAGAGGTGGAAAAACTCAAGGTGAAAATGAAGATAGGACGGGCTGGGGATTTAGCTCAGCGACAAAGCGCCTGCCTGGCAACCATGAGGTCGTGAGTTCGGTTCCCGGTACCGGAGAAAAACCAAACCAAAAAAAAAAGAAAGAAAAGAAAATGAAGATAGGAAATATTGACCAGGGGCTCGTCACAACCAACACTCACACTAACGGTACTGATAGACCTTGGCTGTTAGTGGGATGCTGTGTGGGTTGGGAAGCTATGGACCTATGGAAGGAGAAACAGAATTCCTGATGGTGGGAGCCAGAGCTGAAGAAAGGACATCAGATAAACAGGGGGTAGCAGACCAGGGAGATATGGGGCTCTGAGCCCTTCTCCTTTTAGAGGTCAAATATTTCTGAAGTAACACATCGCACATTTCTTTGCACAAATGGATTAATTTCATGCCTCACATACAGGGTCTAGACTCTTGGTGGAGGCATGCGGTAGGAAGAGGAAGACCTGGAGAAGGCTGGAGGTGAGAACCTCACTGCGGAGCCAGAAGAGTTTCACTATGGGAGATGTGGGGCTGCGTGTGTGCGGGCACTGGACTACTCACCTGCAGCAGGGGGAAGCTGGCCAGAAGACTGGCGTCAAACTCTTCAACAGTGTACAGAAGCTCAGTCAGGAGAATGTCAGCCTTGCTCAGCTTGTTGCCCACAAGGTAGTCCTGTCCGTGGCTCTTTAATACCTGGACATTTTGCGAAGTCAAACCATAAATATGTGCACAGAGTGGGGGCGAGCTTCTCCCCGAGCCTCTCAGCCTGACTCTCCTCCTCTCCTGCCCCCCTTGGTTTATTGGCACTCCAGAGATTTTACCAGGGTCCTGGCCCAAGGGGGAGGGTGAAAAGCGGGCCCTGCTCACGCCTGCATTGCAACCCAGGCTCCACTTTCATCCTCACAGCCACACCCGAGTAGTGCCTACACCTGCGCCACACCTGCCCTGCATTCTCCACACATACGGAGGGCTCAGCTTTGCTGCACCGCGTTTCCACTTGCCCACCACCAGGTTGCCCTCAAGCTGAAATTTCAGGGCTTGCTTCTTCCTTCCTCTGTGTCCCCTCTCCCATGAGCCCTGGCTTCAGACTCACAGTGCACCCTTCACCAATGCAATCACCTCAGTGCCGTCCCTTCTCCCCTTCCCTGCTCTCCTCATTTCCTGGCGCTCTCTCTGGGACCTGACTTGAACCCCAGTGAACTCGAACTCATGATCTCCTCGGCTCTATCTCCTTCTTTACAATGGAGTATAGTCTCCGTGAGGAGTTCTCTGGGGATAAATAGAACTGATGTCTGCAACTTACTTTGCAATGCATGAAAAGTTACAGGCATTACTGCTGGAGGAAGACATGGAGACACAGAAGCACAGTAGGTCTGTAGGGTGCTGGTTTTGTTATCTGGGTGGTAACTATGCATTCATTCAGTATTGTATTTATTTCAACTTTTATTGATGTATAAATTTATATACTAACATTTATGAAAATGGGTGATTACCTCTTAAAGTATTTTAACACTATGCAATATTATAGGGAATATAAAGTGAAAACATATGATAGCACTTTGTAAATAGGAACTTCTCTTAAATGTTTAATATGTTTTCAAACAGTTACTTCATAGTAAAAATGTAATAGAACAGCTAATGTCTTAGTATAACATATATTGTTCATTTTTTGCATGGAGTGCTTTGATTTCATAGTACCTGACTTCAATTACAGCTTGAAAATCTGTCATCATGTGATGTACCCAAAGCTGTCAGCACCACGTGGTGTGGAGAGGTGTATTTGAAGATTTCATTGCCTTTAAGATGATCATTCCTTTCATTGCATAGAGCCAGTAATGAATCAACTTATTGAATAAAGGAAAGAATAATGCAACGCTTTATGAAATGAGCGTTGACAGGTTAGTTCTCTAATATATTTGTATAATTTCTGTGTCTCTTATTCTAGGGAACCCTTCCTGGTCCTCACCACAGCCCAGGACATTTATATTTGTAATCCCATGGAAAAGTTAGTGCAATTCTAGCGAGTTAATTCCAAACTATCACTTTCAGTGCAACCCATGGCAAGATAAAAAGGCACTAAGGCCCATTTGTAGCTGGGGAGTCAAAGGATCCTAGGTCCAGCTCTGATGCTGGCTAATAAAACAAAGTCCTCAGCCCACGGCTGAACCTGGGTTTTATTTGTTTGTGAACAAGGGAATAGCTTGAGGATGAGTGACTGTGAGAGTCACAGGAAGTATGTGAGTGCTGTGAGCTGGGCTAGATAGGAGGCCTCAAATCACCTCTGCAAAATGCATAGGGAAGGATATGCAGAAGGAGTAATCTGCATAACACAACTGACACAGTATGTAATGCTTTGGGGTTGGTGCTTCAGCTCTCGTGTGTAATTTTTTAAGCCCTGGGAAGTCACAGCCTCTTATCTTGAGGCTGGATCCCAGTCGACAAAATGGAGCACTGGCCCTTCATTCCGCCTCATCCCAGTTCACGTGTGGGAACATCCGGGGTCTGGAGAAACACTGACTGTCACCTTTCCTTCAAAGACCGCACATCAGCACCTCAGATGAACTGATATGCACTGTGAAGGCCAATTGACGGGATAAGGAGAAGCACCAGCCAGCTCTGTACATGTCAATACATGGAAATAGGGCCAGGTTCTGCCAAAATGCAGACAATTGCTCCTCCTTCAAGGACAGTGGCCCAGGTGGTTCCCCATGTGTTATAATCTTTTTTTTGATCTTTATTTCTACGTAGCTTACATTTACATGGTGTTCCTCCTGAAAATCCTTGCTTTAGCTTCACAAGGAAGCTTACTTAAGGTAGGGTTTAGGTCTGCAACCATCGACCTTTATTTCCTTCATCTGCATGCCTTTCATCTCAAGTCTTAGGAGCCAAGACCGTCAATTCTGTAGATTATTTTTATAATCCCTAAATGTCTCTTCTTTTCTATCCTCCTACCAATACACTTTTTAAAGACATGTGTCTGTCTGACAAGGGGCAGAACACTTGGTGCTGTGCTGTCCTTCCTAGGTTGCTCTGGAATGGAAGTCCAGAGCACTCTGCAGGGTCCACGCAACCTTGAGTGTGGCTCAGAGTCTTTCACTCTCCCAGTTCTCATATGCCCATGAAATTCTGTTGAATGCTGAATTCTAAATTGCATGTAACACAATGAACTTTGACTCAGAAATTCACCTCTGGTATAACCCTACAGTGCCTCTTTCCCCTCTACGCTTCTATAATTCCTGGACCTTCAGGGCTCTGCTCTGATTTTCCGAAGGTTCACTGGCTGTAAAGGTCAAGGCTCTAGGAGTGCCCAGCGCTGTGTCCTCCTGACCTCTGAACTGAGTGCCCCAAACTGCTAAGCAGCCTCACTTACTTTTTCGAAGGCAGGTAAATAGCGATTCTTTGTTCTGTCCTTGATCAAGGCTATCTTAGCATCTTTCTGATCTGGAGGAGTTACTATTAGTTGTAAGAACATTTCATATAAATCTGCCATTCCTTCTGTGTACATATCAATCCTGAAAGACAACACATCAACAGTCAAATTTTCCTATCTTAGCCCTTACTGTTTAAAACTTAAGTAAACAAGAACATTAGGTTGTTACAAAGTAGTTCACCTGCAGTGGGTAGCCTTTATATATTATTGTTTATTGTGCTATGAGTTCTATTTGTGTGTTGTCATCTCTTAGAACAGTCTATGAGATAACTATATCTAAAATTTTTGGTATATCCATGACTAAATACAAGTATAAAGAATATTGGTAGATGGTCCAGAGTCGTACTCAGGTGGATCTTGTTGGAATTACCCCGTACAGCCACTGAGTTACTGCATACAAACCGGATTTGCAGCCTCTGTGTGGTCTGTGTGTATAAAACCCCCCATGCATCCCCCGTACCTTGAACACAGGCTCATGATAGAACACCTGGCACAGTCTTTCAAGCACATCTCTGCTATCTCACATCTTTCTTGCACAGTGCAGGCTCATTGCTATGTCCAGGGTTACAAGGTCTCCCAATTATTTCCCATGAAACACGTTTCCATAACCGTCTCCACTTGCTGTTTTCCAACTCTAGTCTTGTTTCCACTGCACAAGACTCTGCTTAGTGTAGCCCACTGGTCGCGAACCTATGGCATGCATGCTGCAGCAGGCTGTGTGTTATCACCAAAGCTCTAAAAGCTTCAGCATCACGGATCTAGTCCCTTCTCCCGGTGCGTTTTTAAAATTTAGTTAAATGAATGCACGGCATGAAAGCCATTTATTTCTGATTTTCCAAGTGAGACTTTCAACCATTTTTTGAAATTTATTTGACAGCTTTATTGTCCTATAGTCACATACCTAAGCTGTCCACGCTTCAGATTGTTAATATTTAGCATTCTTACTGTGTTTGTAGAATTATGCAAATATGAGTATTCAGTATTTAAAATATTTTGTTACCCCATCCCAAAAATGTTCTGTGCTTTTGGCAGTCACTGCCCCTCTCCCTGTAATTCCACTGAAACCACTAATGTACCTTCTGTCTCTATGCATTTTAAAGGCATGAACATTTGATGTAAAGTCAGAACAAATGCCTTTATTGAGTTTCATTTCCTTACTATATATAATACAGTGTTTTCAATATGTCTCCTTATTTACCATGCATCACCACTTCTTCCCTTTGCATGACCATTCTATGCCTCTAGCACATTTTGTTCCTTTATTCATCCTTTATTTCTTGTTCCTGTATTATTGATCTTTGGGATGCTTCCACTTTGGAAAATTATGAATAAAGCTTCTAAGAATATTTCTAAACAAGTATAAATGTTTATGCATTGGATAAGGGTATATACTACTGCAAAGAATTGCTGAATAATTCTGTGCTTAATTTTTTGATGAACTGACAGCAATTCTGTACAGGATTTTATTTTCAATCAAACAGCTCCGTCACAACAGGAAAGGTACCCCAACCACCCTATACTTGGTTTCTTAAGGTTAAACCAGGCTTTGTACTTCCATGTGAAAGTTTCAGGTGGCCCTTGTATGATGGGCACCAGCTGCCACTGACACTCATCAAGTTGACCTGTCCATGACTCCTGCTGGTAAGTTAGTTTCCAGGTAATAATTACAATTTTTGCATTTTGAGAACCAGTTCCCTTAGATCTTCAGATCCCAAGACTCCTCTTCCTCACCCTCAAACACTGTCTTATTTGTCCCAAGCTATTCTATGAAGTCCAGTTTCCAATGCCCTGAGGATCTGAGATCATGATTTCCTCATCCCCTTGATTTTATGCTTCACCTACTAATACTGAAGCTTTCAGTGCTTGAAAAAGCTAACACTTTGCTTTGTCTGAAGACAGCATGTTCTGATATAATCACAGTCATCTTAATCTATGCCTTTACTCTCCCATCATCTTACTGGACATAGTGATCTCACCTTGTATTCTTCCCCAATCATCTCACTATATGTACCCAGGTCCACTTTTTGCTAGTTATGATCCTCATGCCATGGTCCTGCTCACTGAGGGTGTGACCTGAATCCTCCCTGTGTCATTTTCCTATGTAAGAACAGAGAATATACGTACAGGAGTCTCTCCTTCACGTCTTTGCCATAGAGGTTGTATTTGGTGGCGATGTAGTTGAGAATGGCTCTGGACTGCACCAGATTCATCCCATCCATCTCTACCATGGGTACTTGCTGGAACATCAAGAGCCCATCTTTTGGAAATAAGAAAAGAAAGAAAGAATTAGAATGGATACTGCTATTTCAGAACAAACAAAATGGTCTTGGAAATGATTTAAGAAAGGACAAAACGTATTCCTTGATCACCTTCAAGTAAAACAGAATCTTGTTCTTAATTGCTGGTAGGCCTTTGTTTTCTTCTCTTACTGATACTTTTTAGCTCATGCATTTTTTTCCCCCTGTGTTGGTTTTTTGAGATGGGGTCTTACTCTGTAGTTCAGGCTGGTCTTAACTCACTATGTAGTTTAGGCCTGCCTCAAACTCATGGTGCTCTTCCTGCCTCAGCCCCCTGGGTGCTGGAACTACAGACATGCACCACCATACCCAGCTTGGCCTATTCATTTGTCTTTTAGTTGCTATCCATGTAATACAATATATCTTGCATCTTTTCATGTATTATTTATCTTCATGATTATTTTAGGGATGCATGGAGAGAGGAAACAAGGTTGACACCTGGATGCCATTTTAAGCAGTAAATTCCCAAAGGAAGTTTCATGATGGTCAGGACATGTACAGTAGGTTCTGTGGGAGGCATCCACTTAGAGACCTCATCCTGTGTTCCAGGAAGCCTGCAGAGGTGCTCGGATATTTCCTTTGCACATACAACAATTGAAACAAGACAATGGCCCCATTATTTCTCCTCCTGTCATCTAATGCATGGCCCTGTGTGTGTGCGTCAGTAGGAGGACAGTGTGTGATGCTGAACTGAGTGCAGTCCCATCACAG